CTGCACCCCCATCCCCGCACCGGGACTGCACCCCCATCCCCGCACCGGGCACCCCCGCGCCGGGGCTGCACCCCCATCCCCGCACCGGGCACCCCCGCACCGGGGGTTGCACCCCCATCCCCGCACCGGGGCTGCACCCCCATCCCCGCCTCGGCCACCCCCGCACCGCGGGTTGCACCCCCATCCCCGCCCCGGGCACCCGCGACACCCCCGCCCCGGGGGAGGTTCCGTGTCCGTGTCTCTGGCAATGTTTTGCCTAAATCGGTCCAGGACACCCCTCGCCGGTTTCGCAGCAAAGGCATGTTGCTGTTTCATGGTCAATTCGGTGTTCACCAGGACTCCCGGGGCCTTTTTTGCGGAGCTGCTTCCCAGCCGTGCGCCCCCGACCCGTCCTGGGGTGGTTCCTCCCAGGGCAGGACCGGGCACTGCCCCGTGCTGACCCTTCCCAGGCTCCTGCCCGCCGTCTCTCCAGCTCGTTCCGGTCTCTCCGCACTACGGAGCAGAACGACCCGCCGGGTGCAGCCGCGCCTCCCTGTTGGGTGTCACCTGTCACCGTGTTCAGGGTGCTCTGCCCGGCCTCCAGGTCCCTAATGACAGCGTTAGACTGGACCCAGTACTGACCCCGAGGTACATTGGTCATTACCGGCCACTGACCACCCCGTTCTGGTCTCGGCCATGCAGTCCGTGTTCACTGCTCCTCGCGGCTCAACCAGCCCGCGCTCCCACAGCTTCTCTCGGAGGATCCCAAGGGATGCAGCGTCAAATGCATTCCTGAAGCCTGGGTGGGCACTGTCCCCTGCGCTCCCCTCGTGCACCGGCTCCGGCATTTCACCGCGGAAGGTGGTGGGGCGGTCGGGCACGACAGCGCCCTTCCTGTCTTTCCCGTGCTTAGAAGATTCCCAGGATCAGTTGTGTCACCACCTGCCCAGGGACAGAAGTGGGGCCGAACCCTGCCCCCAAACAGCCCCCTCGTGAAGGCAGCCCCCCTTACACACGGCTCCCACGTATCCCAGCATACGGATATGCCTGGAGATCCATTGGACCCTCACACCCGAGAAACCCCCTGTACCCCGCCCCAGACACCCCTCCCCGATGCTCGGAACGGCGGCACCCGCGGACAGAACGCCCCGTCCCGCATCCCAGCGGGGGGCGGGGCCACGGCGGGGGGCGGGGCCCGCCGGTGCCGGTGCCGGTGCCCGGTGCCCGCGGTGCCGTTCGCGCCCGGGATGGAGCCCCCGACCGGCACCGAGAGCGCCCGCCTGGTCAGCCCGCGGGGCGGCCGCGCCGACGGCAGCCTGCGCCTCAAGAGGTACCGCCGGCACCGGCACCCATCGCCCCGGCACCCCATCACCCGCACCACCGTCATTCCATCACCGCTGCCTCTGGCACCGTCGGCATCGGCGCCTGCATCACCGGCACCCCCATCATTGGCACCCTCATTGCTCCGGCACGTCCAGCACCGCAGTCACCACTGGCACTTCCATCACCACTGGCACTTCCATCACCACTGGCAC